GCATTTCCACATGAATGCATAAGGTATGGAGCGATCTTCCCTCATTATTTTTTAAATAAAATTAGAAGGCTGAACAAGGGTTGGAAAAGACTGTTATTTAATGCCTTAAAAAGCTTATAATGTATATTACTGTTAAGCTTTTGGCTGATTTAAATCACCAGATTTAGCTGTTTAAAAGCTGAGCAAAGGTTAGCATGGTATATGTACAACAATTATTCAATCTAAGGCTGAATTAAAATCGATTAACCAACACTTATTAAGCATCAAATTGTTACCTTGGATGGAACTGCAAGTCCCTCAGTTTTTGGGAAGTACCCGCATTCTATCCGATTTATTGAGGGTCCACAAGTTCGACATTGTACCGCTGCAGGAGGTTTGCTGGAAGGGATCGTCGGTACATACGTATACCCAAGTAATAATTGTGGCTTAATGAGGGTTCTGTAGACCATGATTTGGACTTGTAGAATGCTATAAAACCTATATAAAGCTTGCAATGTTACTTGGGTAGGGATGGTTATACCATCTACCAGAGCTGTGGCAATACCCATGAGCTGGGTACATCTTTCATCGTGGTTCACCGTGCAGAAGCACGTGATTGGGTTATGCCAATCGATGGCAGAATGTGCAAGTTGAGGATAAAAGCAGTTTCTTCAATGTTAGCATAATCAACGTGCACAGCCCTCACGTAGCAAGTGACGATGACGATAATGACGCTTTTTACGCGCAGTTGGAACGGGAATACGACAGCTGCCCAAGCCATGACGTCAAGGTCGACCAGGAGGAGGAATTCAGTGCATGGCCATATGTAGTACCTACTTCCAGCATAGCCTATCGTATCGGTACACCTGGAGATCACCGGAGCACAGAATCGCAAATCGACCACGTTTGGATCGATGGAAGGCACTTCTCGGACTTTATCGACGTCAGGACCTATCGCGGCGCAAATATCGATTCGGATCACTACCTTCTAATGGTCAAGGTTCGCCAAAAACTTTACGTTGCCAACAACATTCGGTACCGACGCCCGCCACGGTACAATCTGGAGCGACTGAAGCTGCCCGAAATCACAACTGATTACGCGCAAAGCCTTGACAGCGTTGCCAGATGAAGGAGAGCTCACCGAAGCCCCTCTTGAGGACTGCTGGAACAACGTGAAAGCAGCCATTAACGGCGCTGCTGAAGGTGCCATTGGGTTTGTGGAGCGGAATCGACGGAACGATTGATTCAACGAGGAGTGTCAGACGGTTTTGGATACGATGTGGATGACATCGAGAAGCAAAGACATCAAAACCATCTTTTTCGGGATAAGATGCAGCAGCTGTACCGGGAAAAAATCCAGCAGCTGTATCGTTCTCACGAAACTCGCAAGTTATACGAGAAACTCAACGCATCCCGCAAAGGCTTGCCGAAATGTGTCGGGATAAGGAAGAGGTTATCTTGACGGATGAACGTGAGGTGATTGAAAGGTGGAAGCAGCACTACGATGAACATCTGACTGGCGCAGAAGCAGACGACCAAGGCAGCAGGAGGTATGGCTTCGTCGGTACAGCGGATGAGGGGAACATGGCAGCTCCCACGATAGGTGAAGTTAAGGATGCTATCCGACCGCTTAAGAACAAAAAAGCAGCTGGTAAAGGTGGTATCGGAGTGGATCTTATTAAAATGGGCCCGGATAAGTTGGCCTTTTGTCTTTACGGACTGATAGTCAGGATCTGGGATAGAGAACAGCTACCGGAGTAGTGAAAGGAGGGAGTAATATGGCCAATATATAAAAAAAGCCGACAATCTAGAATGTGGGAACTATCGAGCGATCACTATTCTCAACGCGGCCTACCAAGTGCTTTCCCAGATCATATTTCGCCGTCTATTGCCGCTAGCAAGTAGATTTGTGGGAAGTTATCAAGCCGGTTTTGTGGACGGGCGATTGACAAGGGACCAAATCTTTACGTTGCGGCAGATCCTCCAAAAGTGGCTCCAAGGTCGTTTGACTATTATACCATTGGAAGATTATGGACGATAACGGTTTTCCCGGGAAGCTGACCAGACTGATCAGGGCTACAATGGATGGTGCACAGTGCTGCATGAAGATATCGGGTGCGTTATTGGACCCGTTTGAAACTCGCAAAGGACTTCGACAAGTCGATGGTCTTTCCTGCCTCCTGTTCAACATTGCGCTAAAAGATGTTATGAAACGTGCGGACTTTAACATGCGGGCACGATCTTCAATAAGTCGCTGACGACGTGGACATTGTCGGAAGAACGTTTCGGGCCGTGGCAGAGCAATACACCAGGCTGAAACGTGAAGCAGAGAAGGTTGGATTAAAGGTGAATACGTCGAAGACAAAGTATCTGTTAGCTGGAAGAACTAAGCGCAATAGGGCTCGCATAGGCAGAAGCGTGACAATCGACGGAGATGATTTCGAGGTGGTGGATGAATTTATGTACCTCGGATAACAACTGCAGCAGAGATATTCGTAGACGCATGATTGCCGGAATTCCTGCTTAATACGGACTCTACAAGACCCTGAGGTCGATTAAACTTCACCCCCGTACTAATTGTACCATGTACCAGACGCTGATATGACCGGTATTACTCTACGGGTGTTTTCGAGCGACGAGTGCTTAGGACCATCTTTGTTGGGGTATGTGAGAACGGTGTATGGAGGAGAAGGATGAACCACGAGCTGGCGCAACTCTATGATGAACCCAGCATCCATAAAGTCGCAAAAGCTGGACGGGTACGATGGGCGGGACAACAATCCTGCAAAAATGGTGTTTAACTCGAGTCCGGCCGGTACAAAACGCAGAGGAGCACAGCAAGCAAGGAGGGGCAAGATCTAGGAATGTGGGACAGTTAAGAAATTGGAGACAAGCAGACACGAACCGAGTTAGTTGGCGTAACATTGTGACTCAGGTGCAATCCTGATGGACGTCGGACCAGGAAAAGTAAAGTAAGTAATAGTGGATGGATTTTATTTCTAAACAAGCCAATCGATTGGAAATTTTTCTACAAATCTGCTAAATGAACAATTTTAAATAGGTCAATTTTGAAAATCACACAAATGTTAAACTGTTCCAATGGTGATCAAAATTATCATCAATTGCCTGCAAAAATCGCTTTCCCTAGCACAGATTACAAAATCGAATTCCATCCGGTCTCGCTGTGAACGGTGCTTACTCAATCCGACTGTGTGATGGTGTCATCATCATCAGCAGCAGTGCATTCGGCACGTGGCGTTGAACATTGCTCTCCAGTTCACAACGAAAGGCTGCTCGCAAGCACACATGAGCGCCCATTTACCGAAGAAGGAGGAAGAAGCCACATCGCTTCTGATCGGATTCAGTTGCTTGTCGTGAGCCGCTGTGGGACATCTATGCCAAGCGCGTTACCCTTGTTCCAAACAACATACAGCTCACCAGCCTCATCCGTGTTGAACACCCTAATAGCTCAGCATTACTCAACCATCACGACAAAACGGTTCTTTTTAGGACCACCATAAATTATTGTTGTTTAAGAGTTAATTTTCATTGAACGTTCGCTCGCCTTGCTGTCAGCCACATCACCCCCAAAGCCCTTTGATAATGTACCCAGTAACCAAACGTTTGTGGTCAAATGCGTAACAGTATTAACAATTAACCAGAAACACTTCGAATTAAGCTAATGTTTTCTCCAGGACGGCAGACAAAAAAAAAGTAAAAAAATCTCGAATTTATATGATTGATTTAGAATATTTTTTTTATTAGGATGTAATTCCTCTAATCAATTTTTGCTTTTTTATTATCTATTAATTAAACCAAAAATTTCATGCGTTTTTTGCACGAAAATGCGTAATTTTGTGATAAGAAAAAGTTTCTCTGATAAAGTCGCCGAATATTGATATTGAACACGTAATCCTACGTCAAATCTTTTATTTTTTCAAAACAGGCATTTATATAAATGAGTTTACTCTAATGGTTTCGGGCGCTGAAGGATTAAAGGCAATTAAAGTTGTATCAACAAATCTCTAATTCAAGTAGCTCATTTTCCATAGTAAAATAAAACAATTTTGTGATTTCCATCAGATGCACCTCTTCGAGAACGCTTAACTTATTCTATACCAGCTGAAGAACACATGATAAACATGCAAGACCAAAGTCGCCCGATACCCATAATTCTATTCCACGGCTGCATTGTTTAGGGACGATTGCGAAGTATATTTAATAAATTGATATCGTTTACATTGTTATTCCACGCAGTCAATCAACGATCTCTACCGGTAACCATCATCAACCTCCTTAACATGGCAGGCAGTTAGGCATCTTTTGCCCATCACCAGTTGCACCACAAAGCATCGACCGCAGCAGCAGCAGCAGCAGCAGCACAAAAACGAGTATTGCGCACTGATTCCGAATTCAGTGATCGTATCACCAAACGTTCCAATTTAAGGCAAACTCTCCCACGGTGCTTCCTGCACGTCTACAGTGGACAAGGATCGCTCTGGTGGCGGTGTGGGGCGGAAAGAAAACACAGGGGTGCCGCGGGAAAAATCGTATCACGAAGAAAGCTCCCAAACCCAAACGAGGAGCATAGAGAAAATACCGCAAATAGCTCCACTAGTCTCTGCTGGCTGGCTGGCCGCACCGAAGCAGGGCTGCAGTTTCACAGTCTATAGGTGCGTGTCCCCGTCCGTCGTCGTCGTCATCGACGCGAAGAAGATGCAACCTAGCGAGATGAATTACCGTTACCACATATCATCTTCAGTGCAGTTCAGTCGGTAGAAGAGGCCTAGTCAGCGTGTGCAGTTAGGAGGAAAAACACACAAACACTCTTGGCTGTTGGTGATGCGAATCGCACACGCTGCTCCTTTCATCGCGGCCCGTGGTCCGCCAGAGGGAGCTGGTACACAGCAGAGGAAAATTTTTCTCACACATCCAGTAGAATAAGTGCATAAAATTAAATTGCGCGTGGTCCCTAGGGGGGGAAAGAGGGGGGAAACGCACAAACTTGTGCCCGATGTGATTTACTGCAGCGGGAGATCGATCTGCAAGTTCGGCGAAATGGACAGCATGCCGTCCCCACGATCCTCGTCCATCTATGTGCGGGGTCTTTCGATAGATGGATGGCTTTGGTGAGGCGGACTTTTGCCGCTTGATTTATGTTGTGCGTATGTTTGTGAGCAGGGTGATGAGTTGCTGCCCGCAGAGAGAGTGTCAATCGTGGTTTGGCTGACGGGAAAATTGATATTTGCACCAATCGGGCTCATAGGTGGCTCGGATTATAAACAAAATCAATCGGTCATTAGTTTTTAAAACATCGAACTTTGCCACATATTTTGAGCAACAAAATGCTACAACATTGTAATCGGAAAATATCATGTCCATAATACAGCGTAACATTTATCGCTGATATCTCCATCATCATCAGCCAGGAACCTCATTTCTCAACCTAAATCAAACCGTATCATTAACAGCAATCGAAGTCCCAAATTTTCTCATTATCAATTCACACCACACCGAAACGACCGCAACTTCCTTTGGCTGCGACTTCCATTGCGCCTTTTTATGGTGCGCTACTTTCGTGCGCAGCGTTGATTTTATTCAGCATTTCCTTTTCCGGAACACACACTGACGACGACGACAACAACGGCCGGAGTCATTCGCAGTACGGCACCGACCGACCGTGTCGATCGATCTGCTCGATCACCGGCACAATTGTCGTCAACGGAGTCAGGTCCCGGGCACCACCCATTAGCCCCCCTCCCCCGCACCCGCGTGGCAGTCAAAAAGCAATCGACAAGCCGCGGAAACCTGTCACCCAGCGTTTACACCACGCACGCCACCCGCCGCAGCTGCACTCTTCCGGGTAAGCATATGTAGAACCTCCTGACTTCCCAATAGGAAAACAACAAAGAAATTGTTTTAATCGCACAACGGAATCTATCAATTTCCAAAGGTTCTTTTTTTTCGCAACTTGCGTCTTTCTTCCTTCTTTGGATACATACCTACCTACATACTCATGAGTTCGATCGATTGAATAGACCATTATCGCGCGCCGTCCAACTACGGAAGGAAGTTTCAACCAATTGCGCTTGAGGTGCACGTGCGAAGGTACTGTTATATGGAAATATCAGTCACCTGGCAGCGGGGGCTGAGCTAGAGTTGATTGATTGACTGGACTCTGTCACCTCCTCCGCATGGATCCAATCGAAGCAAAAAAAAACAAAAACTGTTAGCTCGATTATGTGTGTGATTCAAGTTCGGGCCACCTCCGGTTGTTTCAACTGAAAGAGCTAGGAAATTGTTCAGTCTGATCGGAAACTTGATTGCGTACGAGGTTTCTCCAGGTGGATCTAACGGGAATGTTTTGAATTATTTTGCCGAACAATGTTAATAAAATTAAACATTGAACAACAAACACAGGTTTTATTATCATTGATTCATTCAATTTGTTTTGCACAGAAATGCACTCGTGCACCATATTTTGGGATGGTTTTGGTATTAAAGCTTGTGTTTATACCAATCAGTTATCGACATATTTTGTAAAAGAGACCATATTGATCGGGCAGGTGAATAGAACCTTTGTTATACAGTATTATTTCGTTTTTGATATTATCCATAGATATGCGAGCCCTTAATGAATAGTTTTATTTTATTGGTCCCAATTTTTGCACTGCTCCATTAAACAGCAATTGCTAGTTTGCATTGGAGTCCAAATCATAATTCAATAATCAATTGATTTATGTCTTCACGTTTACATCCTATCATGACAATAATTTTAAGATATAATTGTGGCTTATCTAACATAGTTATAGATTTTACAGTCACGTAGGGCTTAGTTCATAGATTAACATTGGCTCCTGTTTACAAATGTAAGTACTTGAACACTAAGAAATAAGTTAACTCAAATACTTTAACCGCATATATAAGAGATTTCGCGTATTGAGAGAATAATATAGTAATCGAGTACAACAAACTCAGGGAAATACAATACCTCCAAAGTTTAAAAGCTATTAATTGTCACATACCTCTACTTTTACTTATTTCCTAAACTATTCCTCTCCTTGTTAATCTGCTTAAGGGGAAGCAGACCGCTCCGAAAAAAAAATTACGTTTTGATTTTTCTAAAAATATTGAAAAAAAAGTATCAAAAATCTAAAAAAATCACATTTTTTCTAATTTTTTAAAGAAAATTCACGTGCAAAAACATGTTTTATAAGTCATTATGGCATAAAGTTGGACTCAAAAAACCACAAAACATCAACTTTTCGGTTTTTCTGAGAGTCCAATTTTTTTTTCATGATGGGATAGAAAAAAATTTTTTGCATGTAATTTTTGACAAAAATCTAAGGAAGAAATTGATTTTCTTTTTTTTTTATAATGTGTTTATTTTTCCGGGCTCATTTGCTATAGCTTTGCGGAGCCAATATTCATTGATTAGATTTCAAAATTACTTAAAACTAACGTTAGTAAAGCGGGGGCCGATTACTCGCGGCTATCTCGAGGTTAGGGGTGACAAATTGTAACAAATGGATGGCAGGGTAGGGATTGTGAACACAAGGTTTGGAGAGCAATGTGCTCTTGATCTCGAACTAAGCGACACTCTGATGAAAAAGACAAACATGGGGGTACAAAATTGATTTTCTTGGATTTTTGATAATTTTTCCCAATATTTTTAGAAAAATAAAAACGTACCGAAAATATTTTTTTATTTTTGGGCCGGTGAGCTTCCCCTTAATGCTATTGGTCTGCTTGCGTTTTCTTATTAAAGTTCAAGACTAAATAAGAAGATTTATTCCACAACTTTAAAGGTTAGTTGCCTCCCTAAGCGGACCCCCCGCATCTTAATTCCTTTGTTAATCTACTTAATGTCATTAGACTTTCTGAAGTTTCTTATTTGAGTTCATTTGATGATTATGATATCTCATTAGTCTAATTTAATAAATTATTAAAAGCTCTAATTCACCTAATCAATCATAACCCATCCTTTATTAAGTACCTGCATTTGTGCTTGCAATCTAAAATTAAACGTGTTTCAAGTACTTTTTATTTTGACCTATACCTATTTATTATATCTTAGTTCGACCCAGGTAACACCTTCAAGTGACTAAAATGCTTCATTTTGAAGTTAGTTTCCTAGCTGATTTTTAAATTATATGGGGTATATGCTCCAACTATGCTCACACGCTTCCACTATGTCGCACCACAAAAATACGTATGGGTATGTCACAATAGAAGCACACCACAGTAGAAATCCCGAGCCATAGTTCAAACACTTATCCCAAATCAAAATGAAGCGCATATAAGATTATTTACAATACCATATACAAAAATTGTGTTTAACATTGTTTCCTGAGTAATACTTCAATGAAAACAACAATGAAAGCTTGTCACGCAAATAGAAGGAGCACCGTTGGGAACTTTCTGAAATATTTCAATAGTATAATTCCCTTGCAAACCCAAATAAATCTATCTGCGTAAAAAAATAAGAGTGATTTGCGCAAAACCCACCAGTATCGCACACAACGTCAGTGCCTATACGTAAGCGTACTACGACGCGGCTCTCAATTAAAGGAGTAACAAGTGTGATACTATCACTGCTAGACTAGATCTTTGGTTCTCTCATGCAGTGGTTTATCAGAGAGGGGAAGCTCAGTAATCCCCATTGCCTGCCCATGACGCCATTCTATCGCGGCATGAGCCAGCAACGCAGACCATAAACCCACCGTCTCCAACACTCCACTAGCATGAAATTGAGCCCACCCACCAACAGCAAGGTGCAAAAACTAGCCAAGGGGAGGGTCCTGGAAATAATCGATATTATTCAGATAATAGTTGTACAATATCTCCAAATGTAAGATTCAAGTTCAAATAAAAGTTTGAACAGAAACTGATACTGTATATCGCCATATCGGAGAGAGGAATTTTTAAGCCATGGTTCAAGCCTAGCGGTTATGCTGTCAACCAAGAAGTGTGCCAAAATCAATATCTGAAGAAAATATTGATTCCATTTCTTCAAAAATATCACGCAGATGGAAATTGCGTGTTTTGGCCGCATAAAGCATAATCGAATTATGCTAAGAAAACACTATCCTTCTTGGCAAATCAAAATATCCCGTATGTGTGTATTCAATCTAACCCCCACTGGCCGGCAGTGGTATTATGGAAGAAATTTGCTTACAACAATCCTTGATGTAATAATTTAAAGCATGTTTAGTCCGGGAGTTAGAAAGGGATAGCTCTACTGCAGATTCAGCAACCCATTTCAGAATGCCTGGTAATTCACGTCCATTCCGAGGTTACTTTCACATACAATAAGCCCCGCATGTAAACACTATCGTTATCATATGAATAATGGTACTGCAAACACACTTCCAGATTTCGAAACGTGATGTTTCGAAATCTGGCGCGTATTTAGTAATACATGGAAATATGCATTTATGATTGATTATAAATCAGATGGATCTCACCAAATTCTGCCTCCGAAAAAGGACCGGTTTGTTCACTCGCGGTAATCGAAAAAATCTTCCGCGTTGTTTTTACAACCCAACACGACATTTTGAATCACATTCGAAGTTTTTCATTTTCACCGAATTTTTGCTTGACACCTCATTCGCGTGCATCCTCCGGAAGGCAGAACGCCAGCACCAAGAAAAGAAAAAAAAAATACCCGGTAAAACTCTTCTTGGGAGGGAGGCAAAGCACCAAAAACAAGCGAAATGAAAAATCGACCAACGCGACACCACAGTAACACAGTTACTCGAAACAAATTCTTGTCCCAGAATTTTCACGTTAATTACAATATCACTAAAAAAAAACTTCTCAAGACGTGATAGATCTTAATTCACACTTATCCACACGCGGAAAATAATATTTGTTTGATTTGGTACAATTAAAAAACATGCGAAAAACAGATGAAATCAGCGCCAGCGAAAACAAAACCAACCGTTCGCGGGCAGAGCCTACTGCGTTATTTCTTGGAAAATCAAAATATGTACCAAAAAACCGCAACCCAACAAACTTGCCTCAGTGTAGCCCAATTGAATATTTTTTTTTTTAATGTTATTTCGCTAGGCACCCCTATTAGCTAACGGGGCTGATCGGTATTAGTAGTAGTAAAATTACGTTTATTTCTGTTAACTATGATTTTACATTGTTTCAACATTTAAATTGATTAGCCTATCAGACTCTTCCCCGAGCAGGAGAAAATATCTAATGAATACCAAGGCGGTGATATCGTAATTAATTAAACTAGGGGAATTTACGTATTCTCGGCAACCTAAGCAGCGACCTTCTTTATATAGCCTTTTTCTCTATGGAACGCACACATATGCAGTATTGGTTTGTTTACAATCTTTTGCTGCCAGCTGCTCTAACAATTTCAGTCGAAAGAATGGTCAAAAACTGTTTTGAAACGCTTTTACAAAGCTCCAATCTTCTCTAGTGAGAGCGAGTATTGTCGGCAACCAGTTTTTCTTCGGCAGCCGTTCCATTTGAACTGCATGTAAATCTGCTGTTCTATTATCGGCAACTCGAAATCAGCTACAATTTGTAGTGCGTGTGTTTCATTTCAAGAAAACCCTGCTAGATTGCTTTTTCTCAGTGGTAACAATATAGTCAAATTGAAGCTGAAAGCATAAAGAATCGTTTGCATGCATTCAGCGAAGTGTTTTCGTAAGAAAATCCAGTGAAAATAGTGTTTCAATTTGGGTTGCCGAAAATAGTCTGTCATGCCGAAGCCGTCATTTCCCCTACTATACGTTACGATCTAATAAAACTATTTGTCTATTTAACGACATTTTAAAAGAGAGATTGTTCTTCATTCTAACGAGACAATGAATGACATACTGGTACTCTACAATGACACACAAATGACATCCATCCAGGTGACAGCCGACACTGCCAACGGTGAGCCCTGTGGTAATTCCTGGTTAGGGTTTCCAGTGTCCCCAACATCTCTCTCCTTAATATCTGCGGTACGCCTGGAACCATTGAGGCGGTCTTCGGTTGCGCGAAGAGCACCTAGGTAGCTTGACGCCGATGTTGAAGTTGAAGATGACGTTGTTGAACTTGATCTGTTGGATGATGGGGAGGCCACGGGCTGACCTACCGTTGACGTTGATGGCGCAGGATTCTCATCTTCCGGCAGTGGTACTGTGGGTACAGGTGTAGGGCTTGGTAACTTCCACTCACTCAGCAGGATACTGATTGGCAATGGCCTCGACGGTTGCTGTTCCACATTTCCTGTTCCAGTCATAGTTCGAGCCCTTAGTTGGTTGATATGGGACCGAATCATCTTTTTGTTGTTCACCCAGATGTTGTACATTACACTTCCAAATTTCTCGACCACGATGCCTGGAGCCCAAGTCCACTTGTTGTTTCCGTAGACCTTAGCGTATACAGAATCCTTCGGATGAAACGACCTCGGTTGGTTAGAGTTGGCTTGACGTGTTTCCGGTTCCAAATGCTGAGGTGCTCGTATAAGATCCAGGGATGTTTGCAGTGGTCGATTATACATAACTTCGGCAGGTGATTTTCCGTCTGGTACGTTCGGATTGGGTGTAGTCCGATACGTGAGTAGGCAGATGTCTAATGCATGTTTGATTGTGCCTTCTTCTTCCTGAATTTTCTTGACTGCGCGTTTAAAAGTATCGACAAATCTTTCGGCCTGGCTGTTTGATTGCGGATGAAATGGGACCGTATTGAGATGCCGTATACCGCTTTCGTTGCAGAACTGACTGAATTCCGCACTTTTGAATTGGGTGCCGTTGTCTGTAACGAGGACTTCGGGCATTCCCTTGTTGCTGAAAAGTGAACGAAGCAGGCTGATGGTGGCTTTCGCCGTGATCTGCCGAGTTGGAAAAATTTCCGGCCATTTGCTGTGTGCATCGACGACGATGAGGTAATATTCCCCGTCCATTGGGCCCGCATAGTCAGAATGTACGCGCTGCCATGGAGCAGTAGTGGACGGCCATGGTTCTGGTGATGCTTTTGGTGGGGACCGTGCTGCGTGGACCGCGCACAGTGATGGCAAGATCCGACGAAACTGGCTATCTCTTCATCCAATCCGGGCCAGTACACATAGCTACGCGCTATTGCTTTCATCCTCTGCACTCCCGGATGGCCCTTGTGGAGTTGATTCAAGCACCTTTTTGACGGCGGGGATCACCAACCTATTTCCGAACATTATGCAGCCTTGGACGATCGACAAACTTTCCTGACGATTTTGAAATCGCCACAGCTCCCAGTCTTGAGTGTTGGTTTTCGACTTTTGCCAACCGTCACGAACAAAACGGTACACCATCCGAAGGGTTGGATCCGACTTGGTTGCCTCTTGGACCATGCTGAAACTGAGAGGTAGGTTGTTGATGTTACGCTACTGATCTTCCTCCAAGCTGGTGGAAGCCACGACGAAATCTTCGTCCGGCTTGGCATGCTGGTTGATGAGCCTGGACAGTACATCGGCGTTCCCGAACTTGTCAGTCGAGACGTATTCCATGGAGAAGTCGTAATTGAGCAACGTCAGAGCCCAACGCTGGAGCCGGTTGGCCGTGTAAACCGGTGTTCCCTTTTTGGACCCAAAAATTTGTAGAAGTGGAGCATGGTCTGTTTGAAGCCGGAATCTTCTTCCATATACGAACTTGTGGAACTTCGTTAATGCAAACACGATTGCCAGACCTTCGCGATCGGGCTGAGAATAGCGTTGTTCTGCTGCAGTGAGTGCCCGAGACGCGTGCTGAATGACCTTGATCTTGCCGTCGGGCAACTTATGGCTAATGGTTGCCCCAACTCCAAACGACGATGCGACGGCGGACACTATTAATTCCAGCTTCGGATCATAAAGCGTGAGCAACAGGTCGGAGGACAATATCTCTCTGAACTTGTCGAATGCCTGCTGACATTCAGGAGTCCAGTCGAACGATGTGCTGGTCTTGAGTAACTCGTCCAACGGATAACGTAGAGTCCTCATGTTTGCGACAAACTTCCCATAGTAATGTATAGCGCCAAGGAAGGAGCGAACTCCGGTGATGTCTTTTGGCGGAGGCATGTTTTTGATTGCTGTAATCTTGGTTGGATCCGGACGGAGGCCATGCCGATCCAATTGATGACCCAGGTACCGGATCTGAGGTTTCGCAAAAGAGCACTTTTCCGGACGTATGGTGAAACCGTACTCCTGAATCCGCTGTAGAACTGCGTGCAGATTCTGTTGGTGCTCCTCAGCATCCTTGCCCCCAACGATGACATCGTCTAGGTAACCAGAAGTTCCCGGAAGTCCCGACAACATGGTATCTATTAGCTGCTGAAACGCACCAGGTGCAGCTTTAACTCCGGGTGGCAACCTGTTGTATTGATACATGCCCCGGTGTGTGTTAATGGTAAGCATTTTGCGGCAGCTTTCATCCACTTCCATCTGTAAGAAGGCATCCGACAGGTCAATTTGGCTGAATACCGTGCAGCTAGCCAATCTTGAAAAAATGTCCTGCGGTAGTGGAAGCGGATACTGGTGAGATTGAAGCCGCTCTTTGAGCCCAGTGGAGTAATCTCCACAAATACGGATGCTACCATTTGCCTTCCTGACTACTACTATTGGGGCCGCCCACTCGGAGTAGTCCACCGTAGAGATAATGTTCAAACGTTCCAAACGGTCGAGTTCCTCATCCACCGTGGATAGCATGGCGTAGGAAACCGGCCTACGAGGACGAAAAATAGGCCGACATGGCTCATGGAGCACTAGCTTGATTTTGGTTTTCGTACACAACCCTAATGTGCTACTGAACAGTTTTGGATATGCTTTCTGCAGGGAACTGTTGTCGACCGGCACTCCACTGACGTGATTGCAAAAGTTGTCCATCGGTAACGACCAAAGGATGAAATCGATACCGAGTAGGTTCAGTGGACGATTTGAGACGAAAATCCGGCCCTGATTAGCCGAACCGCTGATCGATACTTCACAGGCAAACTCGTACTGCAGGTCAAGCTGTTCGCCAGATGCTGATTTGGCGATTTGCGTTGACGGAACCACTGCACTATGGGCAAAAATGGGTCCAAAATTACCCAAAATTCAATATCTCAACAGCACGCTGAATTCCGGCCATGAAATGCGACTTTTCCGAAGGGAAATCGAGCAAGTGACGGTTTGTGCAGGTGGAAATCAACGGTGTTCCAGTGCGTCTCCAATTGGATATTGCGTCGAATATCACCATTGTGTCCAAGGAAGTATGGAAGCAAATAGGGCAACCAGCAGTGCACTATGGGCAAAAATGGGTCCAAAATTACCCAAAATTCAATATCTCAACAGCATACTGAATTCTGGCCATAAAATGCGACTTTTCCGAAGAGAAATCGTCGGGGAAATCGATTGCACGTTGTCCCATAGACCGGAGAGCCTTGTAGGTATGTGTTTTGGATCATTTTACCCCATTTTTCCCTACTTTTTGGAGGAAATGTTTTTTTCACAGCTCTATTTTTCGTAAAACATAAGCAATTTATGCATGGTTTTAGAATACAATGTCTTTAAACAACAGTTCATGAGATATTAGGGGAATACGCGGTACACTTTATAAGGGAGCAAGGAGTAAAAGTGAAACTACAATCAATGTTTTTAATACAAAATCCATTTTTTTTAATATCATAATATTTTTTTTCTAAAAAATACTTTTAATTAACTTTCATTTGGTATTTTGAGATCCGTCATCGGCCAAACAGTTCAAAAGTTATACATTTTTGAAAAAAATCGAAAAAAAAAACATTTTTTTTTTACCTCCCTAATATATAAATAGTCACCCTAATGATAAAATAAAAAAAAATACGGGTCTAATATGTTGCGATAAGGAACAAAACAACAAATTTTTACAAAATTCTGAGAACCACTATATCGTTTTGCTGTATACAGACAAAAAAGTGAAAACTCTTTTAAAACAGATAGCTGTAAATTAAAACTTATTTAACCCCAATTAACCTTAAAATTTCGAAAAAAAAAATATCTTATTATTACAGGCAACCTTTGGGGTCATTCAAACAATCGCATCGTTAAACATTTTTATGAATTAAAATAAATTTAGCGAGGTTTCACTTTTAACCCTTACTCCCCTATAAAGTGTACCCCGTATTCCCCTAATATCTCATGAACTGTTGTTTAAAGACATAGTATTCTAAAAATGGTCCAAAACACATACCTACAAGGCTCTCCGGTCTATGGGACTACGTGCAATCAATTCCCCGGACAATTTCCCTTCGGAAAAGTCGCATTTTATGGCCAGAATTCAGTGTGCTGTTGAGATATTGAATTTTGGGTAATTTTGGACCCATTTTTGCCCATAGTGCACTGCTGGTTGCCCTATTTGCTTCCATACTTCCTTGGACACAATGGTGATATCCGACGCAGTATCCAATTGTAGACGCACTGGAACACCGTTGATTTCCACCTGCACAAACCGTCACTTGCTCTGGACGTTGCCAACTGAAAGAGCGATGGTTTTAGTGGAAAACTTACCGCTGCGTTGTTTGACAGGTTTGGATGAACGTTTCGCAGTACTTTGAGAAATGCATCGCACCGCAGTTCCAGCACGGTGTTGCTGGACCATTCTTCCCCGCTTCCGGCATTTTCGGAACTTTCCGCTGCTCCATCGACCACTTCCGGAATTTATTCTGATGCTGTGGACCTCTTCGGATTGCTTGCACCTGTCCAGATGGGCCTTCGATCATCGCTGCGTCGCTCTTCAAATTGATTAACCGCTGACATTCCTCTATCAACGCCTCCAGGGTGACGTCATTGCTGTCCTCTATCTTCGTCAGCAACCTGGTGGGTACTTCGGCGTCGCACTCGCCCTTCATGCTGCACACGTACATTAAACATTTGAATTGTTGTTCGGACATCTTCGGCAACTCAAATTCCACGCACATTTTGTTCACCCGACACGCAAAAGTTACATAATCTTCAGTCGGGGCTTTGGTGATGGTGAGCGTACTGTAGCGTTTTTTTTACCATTGATTCCGTGGTCCCGAACAGCGATTTAAGCTTCTGGATCGTGATGGCGAACGTGAAATCCTTCGGGGTACTACCCAACAAACATTGAATGTTGAATAAGAGCTTATTCAGACAAAAACAAGATTCTTCAGCTAAAAAATTGCTTATTCAACTGTTGATCAACTCGAATTGTTTGTTGGGTAGGCAGGATATAACTCACATACCTGTAATACTCGTTTGTCCCCAGCCGACGAAGAAGCAACCTGTTATATTTGAATTGAAAAAAAGTGATAACCTACCTAGCTACGAGTATAACTTAGCCTAACGTGCTAGATCGCGTATGATCTGGAGATCTGATCTCAGACAGGAGTCTCTGAACCTTTCCAGGATAAACACTCTCCGTTCTTCTAATGTCTGAATTCCAGCCAAGAGGTGGATCTCAGAATTTCTAGTCCGCGGGGGACTGTTTAGGATCTTTTGGAGTTTGAGGTAATGGCATTTGGCGCGACTCTCCTAGATCGGGACAGGGTAGACCTCCTGTTGATGAGTGGATACAGGGATCCTATCAAGATGTTACATGGTTTTGGTTTTGTCAACGTAGAACACCGTAGTCGACAGTGGAGTCGACACAGTGTTGAAACTGATCCCAGCTGACGCGAGGGTAGTTGCGTCGGGAAGCTTGGAATCGGTTGACGGATGAGCCCACATCGGCCACCTCCGGATAGTGGTCCAAACTCAGCTCCTGGTGGGTCACAGGTTGCGAGATGTTGTCTCCCATGTTGCTGACGAAGATATCGATGGTGGAGTGTACGCCAGACCAGCTCAAGCGGGTGGGAGAATATGGCGCTATTATGGTGTAGTGAGCCTCTTGCAGGTCGTCGTTCATGATTGTGCCGTTTTGGTTGCGTCGACTGTTGTCACAAGCCTGATGTTTGGCGTTCAGCTCGCCAGCG